GCCGTCTCCCACCGAGGCAGGGTGACCCAAAAAAAAAAGAAAATCCCCAAAAAGAAAAATACTTTCATCATCATTCAACACTTTCACCATACTCGCACATTATCACTGTTTTTGCAGAGGTGCTCAGAATACAACAGTCTAGAAGCATACACATATAAAGATACACAACATATCCCTCCAAACTGCCAATATCCCAAACCCCTCCTTTAAAGTGCAGGCATTGTACTTCCCATTTCCAGGACTCAAGTCCGACTATATGAAAATAACCGGTTTCCCTGAATCCCTTCACTAAATATTACCCTGCTCACACTCCAACAGATCGTCAGGTCCCAAGTACCATTCGTCTCCATTCACTCCTATCTAACACGCTCACGTACGCTTGCTGGAAGTCCAAGCCCCTCGCCCACAAAACCTCCTTTATCCCCTCTCTCCAACCCTTTCGAGGACGACCCCTACCCCGCCTTCCTTCCCCTATAGATTTATATGCTTTCCATGTCATTCTACTTTGATCCATTCTCTCTAAATGACCAAACCACCTCAACAACCCCTCTTCTGCCCTCTGACTAATACTTTTATTAACTCCACACCTTCTCCTAATTTCCAAACTCCGAATTTTCTGCATAATATTTACACCACACATTGCCCTTAAACAGGACATCTCCACTGCCTCCAACCGTCTCCTCGCTGCTGCATTTACCACCCAAGCTTCACACCCATATAAAAGTGTTGGTACTACTATACTTTCATACATTCCCTTCTTTGCCTCCATAGATAACGTTTTTTGACTCCACATATACCTCAACGCACCACTCACCTTTTTTCCCTCATCAATTCTATGATTAACCTCATCCTTCATAAATCCATCCGCCGACACGTCAACTCCCAAGTATCTGAAAACATTCATTTCTTCCATACTCCTCCTCCCCAATTTGATATCCAATTTTTCTTTATCTAAATCATTTGACACCCTCATCACCTTACTCTTTTCTATGTTCACTTTCAGCTTTCTACCTTTACACACATTCCCAAACTCATCCACTAACCTTTGCAATTTTTCTTTAGAATCTCCCATAAGCACAGTATCATCAGCAAAAAGTAACTGTCAATTCCCATTTTGAATCTGATTCCCCAAAATTTAATCCCACCCCTCTCCCGAACACCCTAGCATTTACTTCCTTTACAACCCCATCTATAAATATATTAAAACAACCATGGTGACATTACACATCCCTGTCTAAGACCTACTTTTACCGGGAAATAGTCTCCCTCTCTTCTACACACCCTAACCTGAGCCTCACTATCCTCATAAAATCTCTTTACAGCATTTACTAACTTACCACCTATTCCATATACTTGCAACATCTGCCACATTGCTCCTCTATCCACTCTATCATATGCCTTTTCTAAATCCATAAATGCAATAAAAACTTCCCTACCTTTATCTAAATACTGTTCACATATATGCTTCAATGTAAACACTTGATCTACACATCCCCTACCCACTCTGAAACCTCCTTGCTCATCCGCAATCCTACATTCTGTCTTACCTCTTAATTCTTTCAATTATAACCCTACCGTACACTTTTCCTGGTATACTCAGTAAGCTTATTCCTCTATAATTTTTACAGTCTCTTTTGTCCCCTTTCCCTTTATATAAAGGGACTATACATGCTCTCCGCCAATCCCTAGGTACCTTCCCCTCTTTCATACATTTATTGAACAAAAGTACCAACCACTCCAACACTATATCATCCCCTGCTTTTAACATTTCTGTCATGATCCCATCAGTTCCAGCTGCTTTACCCCCTTTCATTTTACATAATGCCTCACGTACCTCCCCCACACTTACATTCTGCTCTACTTCACTCCTAAAAGATGGTATACCTCCCTGACCAGTGCATGAAATTACTGCCTCTGTTTCTTCCTTAACATTTAAAAGTTCCTCAAAAATATTCTCGCCATCTACCTAATACCTCCATCTCCCCATCTACTAACTCCCCTACTCTGTTTTTAACTGACAAATCCATAGGGGAAGGAAGGCAGGGTAGGGGGTCGTCCTCGAAAAGGTTGGAAGGGGTAAAGGAGGTTTTGTGGGCGAGGGGCTTGGACTTCCAGCAGGCGTGCATGAGCATGTTCGATAGGAGCGAATGGAGACGAATGATTTTTGGGACATGACGATCTGTTGGAGTGTGAGCAGGGTAATATTTAGTGAAGGGATTCGGGGAAACCGGTTATTTTCATATAGCCGGACTCGAGTCCTGGAAATGGGAAGTACAATGCCTGCACTCTAAAGGAGGGGTATGTTGTGTATCTTTTTACGTATATGCTTCTAAACTGTAGTGTTCTGAGCACCTCTGCAAAAAGTGATTTATGTGTGAGTGAGGTGAAAGTGTTGAATGATGATGAAAGTATATGATGAAAGTATTTTCTTTTTTGGGGATTTTCTTTCTTTTTGGGTTACCCTGCCTCGGTGGGAGATGGCCAACTTGTTAAAAAAAAAAAAAAAAAAATCCATATTTTCCCTTGGCTTTCTTAACTTGTTTAACTCACTCCAAAATTTTTTCTTATTTTCATAGAAATTTCTTGACAGTGCCTCTCCCACTCTATCATCTGCTCTCCTTTTGCACTCTCTCACCACTCTCTTTACCTTTCTTTTACTCTCCATATATTCTGCTCTTCTTATAACACTTCTGCTTTGTAAAAACCTCTCATAAGCTACCTTTTTCTCTTTTATCACACCCTTTACTTCATCATTCCACCAATCACTCCTCTTTCCTCCTGCACCCACCCTCCTATAACCACAAACTTCTGCCCCACATTCTAATACTGCATTTTTAAAACTATTCCAACCCTCTTCAACCCCCCCATTACTCATCTTTGCACTATCCCACCTTTCTGCCAATAGTCGCTTATATCTCACCCGAACTTCCTCCTCCCTTAGTTTATACACTTTCACCTCCCTCTTACTTGTTGTTGCCACCTTCCTCTTTTCCCATCTACCTCTTACTCTAACTGTAGCTACAACTAAATAATGATCCGATATATCAGTTGCCCCTCTATAAACATGTACATCCTGGAGCCTACCCATCATCCACCAATACATAATCTAATAAACTACATTCATTACATGCTACATCATACCTTGTATATTTATTTATCCTCTTTTTCATAAAATATGTATTACTTATTACCAAATTTCTTTCTACACATAGCTCAATTAAAGGCTCCCCATTTACATTTACCCCTGGCACCCCAAATTTACCTACTACTCCCTCCATAACATTTTTACCCACTTTAGCATTGAAATCCCCAACCACCATTACTCTCACACTTAATTCAAAACTCCCCACGCATTCACTCAACATTTCCCAAAATCTCTCTCTCTCCTCTACACTTCTCTCTTCTCCAGGTGCATACACGCTTATTATAACCCACTTTCACATCCAATCTTTATTTTACTCCACATAATCCTTGAATTAATACATTTGTAGTCCCTCTTTTCCTGCCATAGCTTATCCTTCAACATTATTGCTACTCCTTCTTTAGCTCTAACTCTATTTGAAACCCCTGACCTAATCCCATTTATTCCTCTCCACTGAAACTCTCCCACCCCCTTCAGCTTTGTTTCACTTAAAGCCAGGACATCCAGCTTCTTCTCATTCATAACATCCACAATCATCTCTTTCTTATCATCTGCACAACATCCACGCACATTCAGACTTCCCACTTTGACAATTTTCTTCTTCTTATTCTTTTAGTAATCTTTACAGGAAAAGGGGTTACTAGCCCATTGTTCCCGGCATTTTAGTTGACTTTTACAACACGCATGGCTTACGGAGGAAAGATTCTTATTCCACTTCCCCATGGATATAAAAGGAAAATTAATAAGACCAAGAACTATTAAGATAAAATCAAAGAAAACTCAGATGAGTGTGTATAAATAAATGTGTATATGTATGTGTAGTGTGACCTAAGTGTAAGTAGAAGTAGCAAGACGTACCTGTAATCTTGCATATTTATGAGACAGGCAAAAGACATCAGCAATCCTACCATCATGTAAAACAATCACAGGCTTTCGTTTTACACTCACTTGGCAGGACGGTAGTACCTCCCTGGGTGGTTGCTGTCTACCAACCTACTACATATATGTTTCAATATAAATACTTGATGTACTCATCCCCTACCCACTCTAAAGCCTCCTTGCTCATCCGAAATCTTACCCTCTCTCTTACCTCTTAATTCTTTCAATAATAACCGTACCGTACACTTTACCTGGTATAATCAGTAAACTCAGTATCATTTGTAAATGCCAATTCAGATCCTCCTCAACCACGGCATGTGTTAACCATTGCAATAGAATTTGATCCCCCCAGAGATGATAACCATTCTACATATGTAAATCTCACCCTAGCAGAGTTGGGGTTAAATGTAAATAATCTCTGTAGATGAGACAACCCAGGCTGGAGAGTATTGTGATTGTGTGTTTACTTTATCAGCTTATTGATGTTCAAAAATTTTTTTGTGTGTTCACGTTCCCTCTGAATTCTGAGATTTAACGGTAAAAAACTTGAGTGCACCAAGTCTGCTTTCTCAGTTAAACACTTCTTTGTACATATCCTTCCTCAGAATCCGTAGATCACATGACTACAAATCAATCGATCGATCTTCTCTTTTCTTTTTTTCTTTGTTAATCTCTTTTGTTGTACTATGCAATCATTGATTCTGTCAAATAATATAATTTGTGATATATCTTAATTTGTAATGCATTGTTTTCATTTATCATCCTTAAGTATAGTTCTTATGTTCAACTGTTGTGTACATTGATATTGTATAGAATAAGCCCAGAGCCGTATGCCTTAAGTTTATAATTTGTATGAGTTAGCTGTTTGTCGGGACACCATATGTTAGTGTCACCGAGCTGTCAGTAATACTGTGTATGTACTTGTGTAGTATACTTAATTAAAACTGTTACTTTATAGACGCTCCCTAGACAGCATGGAACTTCGTTCCATGATGCCCAGGTTCCCTTCTTTACCCGAGGACTCACAACAGGAGGACTACTACAATTCCTCTTTTCCTCCATCAAGCGCTGTATCTCCATCTTCACTACTCTTAATTCCTCCTTAAGCTGCTGGTAAAGTTGCTTAATGGAGGGCATCTTGGTTTAGTCCACGGAGAGTACACTAGACACGTCCTCACTGAGCTAAGTACAGGTCACCACTGAGCTAAGCAGGTCCTTCACAAATCCAACCTACTAACAGAGTAAATGCTACCCAAACAATAAGCGTTGATAATTCTATTTACTCATCTGCAAGTCCCACTCAAATCCAACCCCTCTCACTCATGTATTTATCCAATCTAAATTTGAAACTATCCAAAGTTTTAGCTTCAATAGGACCTTGGGTAGCTTTAAAAAAAGGTTGGACAAATATATGAGTGGGAGGAGTATGTATGTATATACAATACAGGAAGGCCCCGCTTTACGGCGTTTCACTTTACGGCATTCCGCTAATACGGACATTTCAAATTATGACCAAAAGTCGCTATACGGCTCCCCCCACCTGACTTTCTAATACGGTCACCGTGCCCACCCTGTTTGTTTACATTCTCCATGAGCTCAGTAAGCACTAAGTCTCTCCATTTTGTCTGGAAACTCCAAAATTTCAAATGTTTTTAAAAGTTATTTCATATTTTATATATACTCTGATAATTATACTTATTTATACCTGTACCTAAATAAACTTACATACTGTGCTGGCATGCAGGTACACATTAAAATTGGTAAGTGTCTTATGTCTCCAGACGTCATATTAGTAATGATAATAATAATCATCGAGTCATTTAAATGTCGTATATTACGTTAATATATACATTTTCATTAATCCATCCATGATATTTTTTCAAAATTATATAATAAACACGATGCATAACATATAAATAAGATAAATACACCCCACAGTAGAATAAATAAACATAAATATGAGATGTGGTAGCAGACGACTTGCACAAGTGACGCCATATTAGAAATGATAATAATAATAATACTCACCGAGTCTCATTAAATGTCGTATATTACGTTAATATACACATTTTCATTAATCCATGATATTTTTTTTCAAAATTATATAATAAACACGATACATAACATAAAAAGATGATAAATACACCCCACAATAGAATAAATAAACATAAATATAAGATGTGGGAGCCACATAACTTGTACAAGTGACGGCAAGAATAACATTTTCTCTAATCTAATGTAAGAGAAAATGTGTTACTGGGGGTAACTGTAGAAAATTATTCCTTTCGTATGTATCTAAGTAAGTTTATTCAGGTATACACAAATACAGTTACATAGATTATCATACATAACATACGTGTAGAGAACCTAGGATAACCCAAAAAAGTCAGTGTGACTTATTTCCATTGCCTTCACTCAGAGCTTCATTTCTTCTCAAAATGATGTTACATGAGAATGGGAGTGTTCTTCTTTATTAATTCTACCGTATCAATGTAGAGACAACCTGTACACAATGTAACTTGTACACAAACCAGACATGTACACTTCGTTTGTTTACAAAACTTACGTTCGCCTGGTTTGTTTACATAACTCTGTGCCTGTCCCCTCTCATGCACTCATTCTTTCTCTCTCTCATTTATTCGTTTTATCTCATTTACTTACTCCTGACCCTACATTAAGACTACAAATATTTTAAGGTAAGTAATGAGTGAACTGTATATACATTTTATCGCTCTGGGATGCTTAAATATCATAGAATAGTATGTGTGGGTGGGATGGCCTTGTAAGGTAGCCTGGCTATTACCATACATACCACACTTGATTTCTTACAATAAATACTACTTGTCTCACCCTAGATTAAGACTATAAATATTTTAAGGTAAGTAATGAGTGCACTATGTGTGTACTGTACTTTTTTATTGTTTTCTGATGCCTGGTTCTATTGCTAACTTAATATATGTTAGTGTAAACTTGTTATCTAGTGTTTGTATGCATTTATAAGTGGAAAAAAAGGGTGTTCCACTTTACGGCGGTTTCCGCTTTACGGCGGTAGCCTGGAACCTAACTGCCGTATAAGTGGGGCCCTCCTGTACATGTATGTATTTTACAGTGTTTTCATGTGTTTTATGACAGTTCATGATTCAATAGGTTATGGAAGCAGAATGATATTATATTTCGCTACAATATATTGGGGCAACTAACATTAGCGATTTTTCAACATTTGCGAGGCTTTTGATCCCCTAACCCTCGCGAATGTTGAGGGAGACCTGTAATACATTTCCTGTGTTTCAGGTTAACTATCCCATGTGGTGTCCTGAGAGCTTCGAGTCACCTTCAGGAAAATATGAGTCACTACTTCCCAAATCAAATCATAGTTTCAACTTTGGCAATAGTCAGGGTTTAATGTATGAAGCAGTTGAAGTCAGGCGCTGCATTAAGGAAGGTTAGTTATGGATACTTGTTGACAATTTTAACACATCTTTTTACTTTTAAGACTTGATAATTCTCTTCTGATATATTTTAAGAGATAAACATGAGTATTCAGTTAGATAATTTTACATGAAAACATATGAAAGAAAAACTTCTATTGATGAAGAGCCAGTGTAATGACTAGCTGAAAAGGCTACTTGATATGTGGTAATGATAATGTTTCTTTGTTAATAGTGGTTTTTCTTTTTAAAAAGACGGACAGATCCAGTGACCAGGTAATAAGCCATTTCTTATATTTGTAAAATATATGTGTGGGTGTGTAAAATAATTACCTACTTGGTAGTTTTAGCATCAGGAGCAGAGCTATGCTCATGGTAGCTTGTTATCAATATTGTATTTAATCTATCATAATATCATTGGTTGTAACACTTTCTACCTATTACAACCCACTACATTATTTTACCATTCTGTATGTGGAAGAACTTCCTTCTATCCTTTTGGCACCTCTTCCTCACTTTGCCACTATGGCCTCATGTTCTCCCTCTTGATGGTGTTAAAAAATCTTCTTCATCTTTTTTTTATCATTTTATGTGCTTACAAGTGGGGTGACAAAAAGTCTAGGCAATGATAGAGTGTCAAATTGGAGTGAGGGAGTATGGAGGATTGTGGCTGTATTTGATACTTGGGAGTGGACATGTCAGGAGATAGGTCTGTAAAAGACGAGGTGAACCATAGAATAAGTGGAGATAGGTCTGTAAAAGACGAGGTGAACCATAGAATAAGTGAGGAGATAAAAAAAGTGAGTGGTTTGTTGAGGTATCTGTGGAAAGACAGAAAGGAACATATCAGAGTATAGGGGTACCAACACTTTTATATCGATTTGTGAGACATGGATTTTGAAGAGTGCAGCAAGGAGGTGGCTAGAGGCAGTAGAAATGTCATCTTTGAGAGCAATATTTGTTGTGAATAACATACAGAGAATTCAAAGCATAGAAATTAATAGGTGATCTGGGGTGACCAAGGGTATAATTTAAAGAGCTCAGAAGGGGTTGAAGTAGTTTGGACATACGGAGAGGGATAGGAAGGAAGTGTAAGGAAGAAGAGTTGGGTTGTCCCAGGAGCAGTTGGAGGAAGTGGATAAGGAAGTTTTGCATGTCAGGAGCTTGAGCATCTAGTGGACTTTTGTGAGCATGTTAGATAGGAGTGGGTAGAGACAAATAGATGCTTGACATCTTGTTGGAATGTGAAAAAGGTAATATTTAGTTAGCCAGACTTGAGTCATGTAAATGGAAAGGACAGTGCCTGCACTCAGGAGGATGGGTGGGGATGTTGCAGTTGCTATGTCAGTGCACTTGTGGCAAGACAGCAATTGGATGAATGATGGTGAATATGTTTTCATATTTTAGACCACCCTACCTTGGTGGGAGATGACCGATGATGTAAAAAAAAGTAAAATGAGAAAGTACTGAACCCATAGTCATCATACAACACCTGGGGGAATGGGAGGTAATTAGTTTTGATCCAAGGACTGGGAGGATATCCAGGTTAAGAAATGCAGGAAAATAGAGATAATTATATGAATATTAATGAAAGTTTGGAAGATTTATCTGCCATCTTGCATGTTTATGAAACTAAAAGAAAGTGCCCAGTAATCCTGCCAGGGTGCAAGACACTTAACAGGCTTCTATTTCAGACTTGTATGGCAAGATGGCGTGTGTTTGTCAAAACAATTTAATGCTTATTAAGGGCAGGCTAGTAACATAGCCAGGTAAATGAACTCATGTCTCACTGTTCAGAGGTCATTGGTTTGAGCCTCTAGAGGCTGTATGAAAAAACTTGGAGATAACTCTGAGGCTGACAGTGGTCACAAATAATAGCTGTTTACCAGTTTGCCAGACTTAGAGTCCTGGAGCTGGGAAGTGCAGTGCCTACACTGTAAAGGGGTAGGTTTTGGATATTTGCTATTTGTATGAACATCTGTACTGTCATATCTGCACACTTCTGGTAAGACAGTGATGGTGTGAACGATAGTGAGTGATTCTTTTTCGGGTCACCCTGCCTTGGTGGGAGACAGCCAGCATGTTAAAATAAAAGGGTAGGTGGCAGGCATTTGCTGTGGTAAGTTTTAGGTCATTGGTCCTATGTAGGTCATTTAGGTCCCATATATAACTACTGTATATGAGAGAGACAGATAATTAATGTACAGTATAATATAGGGTAGGGAGTGTAAATTAATGCACACAGAGAATCTTAGAATATTTATATGCTTTTTTAATACTTTGTGCATTGGATGTGTACTACTGAATTTGAATTTGTTGTTTAAATTTAGCTTGTTTTTATTTCATTTACACTGTTCACTGTATTGGGGGGTCTGTTTGCAGTGACAGAAAGTGGTATCAGTAAAGGTTTAAGTTGTGTACGAATGGTATATAATACCGACAAGATGAGAGTAAGACACATGTGCAACATCTGGGTATCTTTATTGTAGACGTTTCGCCATCCAGTGGCTTTATCAATACAAATTCTAGGACATAACTTGAAGACAGTAGAACTATGTACAGAAGATGAGGTAATCAGTCCCTCAACCTAGGAGTAGGTGCGAACAGCACCATAGTCGTGGAGATTCTGAAGCAGAAGAAAGAATCCTGGCGCTTATATAGTAACGTCAGGTGAAGCAGACGAGGGCAAATTCACTGGTAGGCCTACCAGTGAATTTGCCCTCGTCTGCTTCACCTGACGTTACTATATAAGCGCCAGGATTCTTTCTTCTGCTTCAGAATCTCCACGACTATGGTGCTGTTCGCACCTACTCCTAGGTTGAGGGACTGATTACCTCATCTTTTGTACATAGTTCTACTGTCTTCAAGTTATGTCCTAGAATTTGTATTGATAAAGCCACTGGATGGCGAAACGTCTACAATAAAGATACCCAGATGTTGCACATGTGTCTTACTCTCAAAGGTTTAAGTTATTGGGCAGCTTTTTGATAAATCACTTATATAAAGTAAGAATTGGAGTGGGCCCAGGATGTTACTTCCAGGAGCACAAATGTTTATTGGTAGAGTAGAAGAAATATTATTTATGGTTGCAGGTGTCTGTCACTTAGTTAAGATTCGATATTTTAGTATGAATGATGGCTTAAGTCCACATCTGTTAATATATATGTTACAGTGCTTTAGTTCAAGTAAAGGGTTAATGAGACTTACAATGTCAAATACTTCTCACAGATCAGTAGGTTAAGAGCAGCAGGTGGCCAGTAATGATGGTAGTAGATGAGATTATCTGGTCGTAATCTTGACAGTAACAAAGTTCTGTAACCAGTGTACTTTGTTGTTTCCGAATCAATTGACCCTGTGATTATGCTCTGTTTGCCCAAGGTCCATTAAATTAAGGTCTATTAGAGTGAGAGTTTACTGTATAATGCCTGTGAATTAAAAAAAGAATTAACATGCTATAGCAACGTGGTAGATGTAGGTTATTTTATATTGAGGAAAACAATAATTTCTGATTAATAAGACAAAGAAGCCATTAGTATGCCACTGAGGATTATTGTCATATCTTTCAGTCAGATTAAGCCTTATTGGGTCTGGTCAGTAGCTGGATGAATGAATGCTAAGGTACCATCTTACCCTTAGCTTGAGAAACCCAGACATGGCTTATGGTCTGCAATTGGACCTATCAACATATTCTAAATTATGATTTTATTGTTTTGTTATGGATATTGTTTCTCTTGACAGGTCTGCTGGAGAGTCCAGGGATGAGCCATGAAGAATCGCTCACCATTGCTGAGATTATGGAGCAGATAAGACGGCAGGTTGGAGTCAAGTATGAATAAAAAAGCTGTAATGCAGCAGTCATCAAGGCAGCTATTTTTAAAGTAAAAGATCCCAGTTGTATACCATCTTAGTATTTAGAATATAGCTGTTCTTCATCATGACATTTTAAGAATTTGGTGTTATTTGTCAACTTAGCAATTAAAGAATGTAATTATAATTTGATTACTTCAGTCTGAGTGAAGTATGTAATTTTTGTAATTACATTAGTTTAACAAGTAATATGAGTTTTCATAAGTTTCATCATTTATATACAGTATACAATATATTAATTATAGCCAATTTACCACTAAGGTAGTGACCTAAAGTAGGAAAACACACCTCCCTAGAAATGAAGGGACATCACAATTCAGATGATTTCTAAACTGCAACATCCCCACCCTCCTTCAAATGAATGCTTCCATCTACAGTATATAATTTTCAGTCACTAGCTTTAAATGAGAAAGCATAGCATAAACTTTTCAAACTGCTCACAATTCATCTTTAGGGGGAAAATTAAGTTTTAAGGTGGTTTGACTCGAAGAGCACCAGAGGAGGTGTAAAAATAATGCTGAAATGCACCAGGCCTAATAAAAATTTCAAACAATAAAACAGACTAATAAACATTACATCATTCTTGAACATGTTCCCTTTTTAACTTTTTCCAAAAGCTTACTATTGAGTGGCAAATTGCCCAACCCTTTTTTGGGATACTTGTATTCTTAAGAGACATTGAACTTTTAAATTTCAGTTGTTTAGGTAACCTACCAGTGTGTTTATTTTTATCATCATAAGCATGTAATATATTGTGTGTGTTTTGTATATGCTGCCCTGAATATTTTGATGGTGAGATAAATAAAATGTATGAAATAGCAAAACAGTCTTTAATATCCCCACATTTTGTTTGATTACACTTTTTTTTCTTAAGTCAAAAATAAATAAATAAATAAATCTTCTTTCAACATACCAACTGCATCTCACCAAGGCAGGGTGGCCCAAAAAGAAAAAAACAAAAGTTTCTCTATTTAATTGCAGTATTGTGTACAGGAGAAGGAGCTACTAGCCCCTGGCTTCCAGCATTTTAGTTGCCTCTTACGACACACATGGCTTACGGAGGAAGAATTCTGGTTTTCCCCTTCCCTATGGAATAAAGGAAATAAACAAGAACTAGTAAGAAAATAGAAGAAAACCCTGAGGGGTGTGTATATATATGCTTGTACATCAAGTGTATGTGACCTAGTGTAAGTAGAATACAAAACGTACCTGAAATCTTTCATGTTTTATGAGACAAAAAAGAAACCACAAAACCACCATCGTGTAAAAAATTTCAGGCCCCCCATTTTTTCACTCACCCCTCACCACTCGCTCACCACTCACTCCTCCCTCCTCCTCTCTCCTCTCCTCCCCCTCTCTCTCATCTCTCTCCTCTTTCTCTTCTCTTCCTCCTCTTCTCTCTCTCTTCTCTCTTCTCTCTCCTCTCTCTCTCTCCTCTCTTCTCTCTCTCTATCCTCTCCATCCTCTCTCTATCCTCTCCTATCTCCTCTCTATCTCTCTCTCTTCTCTCTCTTTTTCTCTCTCTCTCTCCTCTCTTTTTCTCTCTTCTCTTCTTCTCTATCTATCTCATCTTATTTTTTCTTTCTCTCATCTCTCTCTCTCTCCCTCTCTCTCTCCCCTTTTTCCCCCTCACTCTTCTCTTTCTCCTCTTCTCTCTTCTCCTTCTCTCTCTTCCTTCTCCTCTTCTCTCTCTACTCTCTCATCTACTCTTCTCTCTCTCCACTCTTTTTTTAATTATATTTTTTTTTTTTTATATAAAATATTATAATTTAATAAAATTAAAAAAAAATTTCACATCATTCCCCACATTTTTTCTTGCAGAAGGGGGCTTTTCCACAGTTTTTAAAAATGCAACATTAACACCCTCCTTCAGAGTGCAGGCACTGTACTTCCCATCTCCAGGACTCAAGTCCGGCCTGCCGGTTTCCCGAACCCCTTCATAAATGTTACTTTGCTCACACTCCAACAGCACGTCAAGTATTAACCATTCGTCTCCATTCACTCCTATCAAACACGCTCACGCATGCCTGCTGGAAGTCCAAGCCCCTCGCACACAAAACCTCCTTTACCCCCTCCCTCCAACCTTTCCTAGGCCGACCCCTACCCCGCCTTCCTTCCACTACAGACTGATACACTCTTGAAGTCATTCTGTTTCGCTCCATTCTCTCTACATGTCCGCACCACCTCAACAACCCTTCCTCAGCCCTCTGGACAACAGTTTTGGTAATCCTGCACCTCCTCCTAACTTCCAAACTACGAATTCTCTGCATTATATTCACACCACACATTGCCCTCAGACATGACATCTCCACTGCCTCCAGCCTTCTCCTCGCTGCAACATTCATCACCCATGCTTCACACCCATATAAGAGCGTTGGTAAAACTATACTCTCATACATTCCCCTCTTTGCCTCCAAGGACAAAGTTCTTTGTCTCCACAGACTCCTAAGTGCACCATTCACCCTTTTTCCCTCATCAATTCTATGATTCACCTCATCCTTCATAGACCCATCTGCTGACACGTCCACTCCCAAATATACTGAATACATTCACCTCCTCCATACTCTCTCCCTCCAATCTGATATCCAATCTTTCATCACCTAATCTTTTGTTATCCTCATAACCTTACTCTTTCCTGTATTCACTTTTAATTTTCTTCTTTGCACACCCTACCAAATTCATCCACCAATCTCTGCAACTTCTCTTCAGTATCTCCCAAGAGCACAGTGTCATCAGCAAAGAGCACTGTGACAACTCCCACTTTATGTGTGATTCTTTATCTTTTAACTCCACGCCTCTTGTCAAGACCCTCGCATTTACTTCTCTTACAACCCCATCTATAAATATATTAAACAACCACGGTGACATCACACATCCTTGTCTAAGGCCTACTTTTACTGGGAAATAATTTCCCTCTTTCCTACATACTCTAACTTGAGCCTCACTATCCTTGTAAAAACTCTTCACTGCTTTTAGTAACCTACCTCCTACACCATACACCTGCAACATCTGCCACATTGCCCCCCTATCCACCCTGTCATACGCCTTTTCCAAATCCATAAATGCCACAAAGACCTCTTTAGCCTTATCTAAATACTGTTCACTTATATGTTTCACTGTAAACACCTGGTCTACACACCCCCTACCTTTCCTAAAGCCTCCTTGTTCATCTGCTATCCTATTCTCCATCTTACTCTTAATTCTTTCAATAATAACTCTACCATACACTTTACCAGGTATACTCAACAGACTTTTTTTTTTTTCAAAAAGTCGGCTGTCTCCCACCGAGGCAGGGTGACCCAAAAAAAAAAGAAAGAAAATCCCCAAAAAGAAAATACTTTCATCATCATTCAACACTTTCACCACACTCACACATTATCACTGTTTTTGCAGAGGTGCTCAGAATACAACAGTTTAGAAGCATATACGTATAAAGATACACAACATATCCCTCCAAACTGCCAATATCCCAAACCCCTCCTTTAAGAGTGTTGGTACTACTATACTTTCATACATTCCCTTCTTTGCCTCCATAGATAACATTTTTTGACTCCACATATAACTCAACGCACCACTCACCTTTTTTCCCTCATCAATTCTATGATTAAACCTCATCCTTCATAAACCCATCCGCCGACACGTCAACTCACAAGTATCTGAAAGCATTCACTTCTTCCATACTCCTCCTCCCCAATTTGATATCCAATTTTTCTTTATCTAAATCATTTGATACCCTCATCACCTTACTCTTTTCTATGTTCACTTTCAACTTTCTACCTTTACACACATTCTCAAACTCATCCACTAACCTTTGCAATTTTTCTTAGAATCTCCCATAAGCACAGTATCATCAGCAAAAGTAACTGTGTCAGTTCCCATTTTGAATTTGATTCCCCATAATTTAATCCCACCCCTCTCCCGAACACCCTAGCATTTACTTCTTTTACAACCCCATCTATAAATATATTAAACAACCATGGTGACATTACACATCCCTGTCTAAGACCTACTTTTACCGGGAAGTATTCTCCCTCTCTTCTATATGCCCTAACCTGAGCCTCACTATCCTCATAAAAGCTCTTTACAGCATTTAGTAACTTACCACCTACTATGCATGCTCTCTGCCAATCCCTAGGTACCTTACCCTCTTCCATACATTTATTAAATAATTGCACCAACCACTCCAAAACTATATCCCCACCTGCTTTTAACATTTCTATCTTTATCCCATCAATCCCGGCTGCCTTACCCCCTTTCATTTTACCTACTGCTTCACGAACTTCCCCCACACTCACAACTGTTGGAGTGTGGGCAGGGTAATATTTAGTGAAGGGATTCAGGGAAACCGGTTATTTTCATATAGTCGGACTTGAGTCCTGGAAATGGGAAGTACAATGCCTGCACTTTAAAGGAGGGGTTTGGGATATTGGCAGTTTGGAGGGATATGTTGTGTATCTTTATATGTGTATGCTTTTAGACTGTTGTATTCTGAGCACCTCTGCAAAAACTGTGATAATGTGCGAGTGTGGTGAAAGTGTTGAATGATGAAGAAAGTATTTTCTTTTTGGGGATTTTCTTTCTTTTTTGGGTCACCCTGCCTCGGTGGGAGACGGCCGACTTGTTGAAAAAAAAAAAAAAAAAATATATATATATATATATATATATATATATTATATATATATATAATAATATTATATATATATATATATATATATAATATATATATATATATATATAATTTTATTATATATATATATATATATATGTGGGTAGGTTGGTAGACAGCAACCACCCAGGGAAGTAATACCGTCCTGCCAGATGACTGTGAAACAAAAACCTGTAACTTTTTTTGCTTGATGGTAGGATTGCTGGTTTCTTTTTCTGTCTCAAAAACACGCTAAGATAGCAGGATATCTTGCTACTCCTACTTACACTTTGGTCAAAACTTCACAGACACGCACATGCATATATATATATACTACATCTAGGTTTTTCTCCTTTTTCTAAATAGCTCTTGTTCTTTTTTATTTCTTCTATTGTCCATGGGGAAGTGGAAAAGAATCTTTCCTTTCCCTAAGCCATGCGTGTCGTTTTGAGGCGACTAAAATGCCGGAGCAAGGGGTAGTAACCCCTTCTTCCTGTATACAATTACTAAAAAAGAGAAGAAGAAAAACTTTATAAAACTTGGGTTTCTAAAATGTGCGTGGATGTAGTGCGGATACAAGAAACAGATGATTGCTGATGTTATGAATGAAAAGAAGTTGATGTCCTGGGCCCCAAGCGAAACAAAGCTGAAGGGGGTAGGAGAGTTTCAGTGTGGGG